CAAATCCCGCATAGTCTGAAGTTCATAAAATGAAACTGATTTTAGAAAAACCGCTTCAAACCTTTTAGCAGCAGAGTCGACTCCTTCTTGTCCATTCTCACCCACCCGGTGATGGTTTCAACTCAGCCTTTTTTATCCGTCTTTTTCTATCCACAACCTGATCAGTCCCTCTGAAGTAGCAGTCAACAGCTCGCAATCGAATCGATAGGAAACGGACATTTCAGTAGTAGTATCTCATTTATTTATTTCCTGTGATACCAGAGGGACATAGGAAATTAAAACTCATTGGTGAAACTTATTACTTACATAAAACAAGGCTAAACTGTTGTCCGAATATACTATTGTCGTATGCTTTTTCAAAAGACAGCAGTCTGACAGTCCGTTCTTGACGATCTTATTCCTTGTTCATTGGTTATGCTTCGTTCAAATGGAGATGTAATCGACTGAGAAGATTAGTTTTAGTAATACTGTGATATAGGTTGGAAGCAAAAACTAATGATAAGCACTTCGTCAATGATTTTCTCTCTCTCTTTCTCTCTCTGAATAATTAAATCGTCAACTTCATATTGAAAAAAAAATCAAAAATCGAAGGTATCGCAATCTCTGTGCTCCCCTAATGTCTATGAAAACTCCAGGGAAAACCTTGAAAGAAATAGAACAGGAGGGAAGGAATCATTTGTGATAATATATTGATGGCTTATTGTTCTCTGTCATACTGTGGTGTCATCGGGTTCCTCAATCGAACTGTCCGGAACATTGATTGTTTCCCTACTCTACTATGGTAACTATTTGCTAGGTTTTCTCTGGTCAGATATCAGCAAATAAAACGCTGTAGGCATTGACATTGCTCTCCGCTGGTCATTTTGTACCCAATTGTCCCTTTGTCTAGTTCCATTCATTCCCGAGCGACACCCAGACACACGGAGGTGCACACGAGCAGAAACGTCATCCCCAAAACTACTTGCAGAAGTGCTCAATGTCGCAGTGACCTCTAATTCTGTATGTTGTTCACGTGAGACAATTTCTGACATAAAAATGCTCATTCAAAGGTGAATCAATGCGTTTAGTGATTCAGGCATCAGCCTGTATTGATTGTGTACAACGGAGATGGAATTCAGCTGCAGTTGGTTAAGCGAAATACTGCATTGTGTCGCAGTTCACGAAACCTAACCCCACTACTCGTAGATCTTTCGTCTTCGTAACGACCTTAGCAGAAGAGAGACTGTCCTTCCTTTGGACCTAAGATTTCAAAGAAATAACAGTATTTGTAACTAATGCTAACTGTTTGATCAGGAGGAGTAATTGAACGAGCGCATAAAAATCGATGAAATAAACTTTGAAGTTCACGGTCTGCAGCTTAAACGGAAATCTGTTGTTCATCAACCTAATCATATACAAAACTGACAATGATGGCGATAGAATCTCTTGTTTCACGTTCTCTGGTGCAATTCTAGACCCCAGCTTTGGAGATCTGTCACTTACTGACTACCATTACCTTTAATGAACAGAATAATTGACCGATGGATGTCTCCATTTAATTTTACCTCTAANCTACTGCAGTATTGATCGATATCTATCTTTTTAAAGTACTTTCTTTGAGGTTATTTGTTGCTTCACTTTTTTACTATCAAATTTATACAAATACAAATACATTTAAGAACCAAAACACAAATTTTTCAGTTATTCGTACCACTCTCCTCTGGAAAGTGTTTGATTCTCTTATGGAGAGAATGCATTTTCGACCACTAGATGAGGCTATTTTGGAATCTCATTAAGAATAAGAACGAGTTAACAAACAGGCATTTATGGGCGTTTAGTCCCTAGCGGCACTGTTAGATGTTCATATATCAACAAGTTAAAAGTGAAGTGAAGATATACAACAGCTAAGACGTATACAGACAATTTGATAGCGTCTGATTTCGTTCCATAGCTCGCTGTATTTTGGACCAAGTGTGTGCATTGATTGAATTATCTTAGTCTATGTGTTACGGGCTAACTTTAGTGCACTATTCTTCAGAGGTCATGAAAGAACGGTTAATGTAATTTTGCTCCCAAGGCATAGTACAGGGACGTCATTGTCCCGTTAGTTCCATGCATTCACACAAACACGAGAAATTGAAAACATCACTCGTCATCAACAGCCCTAGTGCTATCATAAATTAAAGTGATGCAATTCTCTCCACGCTCTGATAGTTTCGCTCGCATCCGTGAGAATGATCAAAACCGCTACCAATTATAGTATGCATTATCACATATTTTCCCTATAAAATTATTGATCCATCTAAGCCTTTTGTCAACAAGTCGTTAATGTGAACGTATACAGTGTATGGCTTTTTGTTATTCTGCATGGCTTAAAAGATGGGGCAACTCCAATATTTTGGCATAGCATCCAACGAAAACACGATCTTGGATGTGTCGCGAAGTCAGATTGGCGCTCAAGTCACGGCGTTCATGTATTCAATTTACAGATATTTGAACTATGATGCCAAGTCCACTAGCTAAACTCGGATCTCAACCAACAAATTTCAACCGTGTGGAATTCTTATTATATCTAGCATCACCACGGATTTGATTCTGGTTCAAAGATCTGCATGTTGCTCTTTGAATGCAGCAATTATCCCCAATTTCTCTGTGCCCTTAGGTTTAAACCTTCTTCCTTCAATCAACTTGTACCCCTTACTGCCCAGTCATTGAATTTTTGCAGTAGAATTTCTCAGAATAACAAAACCAGTTAGTACGGAATGTCTCACGTTTTCCAGTGTTATAATATTTTACAGTATGTCTACTAGTACACCCCGACATCCTTTCTCTCCCTCAGATTGTCACTACACCAACTATACCCAATCGGTATTTTACGGTATTGCATTGCTGACAGAGTTACACCACTGTGTCCAATAAAATTAACTCTCACAAGAAGTGTTTCCACAATCAGCAGTTCAAATTTAGACAAGTGATCAGTGTGCTTGTCAGAAAGACCACCGCCAACCTGGTTTGTGTTTCACTTTGTCTTACACCAATTTGTCTAACTTATCATCCGTTTGGGTCTGTTTGTGTGTCGCAACTGCACCATCCAGTATCTTTTAAGCCAATTGACGATTAAATCAGTCAGCTTATTGTCAAAAATCCTTGTTCCAGAAGGAACTAATCAGTAAATTGGTTTTGTAAAGTTTTCCGGAAACGATTTATGTTTATTCGGCCGGTATTGAGTTTGACGGAGATTGCATTTCAGTTATTCTGTCATAGTGCGTTTTGATTTTTTATCATACACAAACTGATAGGCACTCGAAATAGAATCAAACGACATTCGCGAAGTTTTTCTCGGAGGTGAAATTTGTTACATAGATGTGAGCACTGATGTGGAACATTCTGCTACTAGTCGGAACGAATGAAGAGTTGCACCGGGACTGAAAAAGAGCTATTCAATTACACAACCACTTTTTCACCCCTAACTGACACTCACGGTGGTGAAAACAGTGCAGACGATTCACTTCAAACGATTCAAATCGTTCCGGGTAAACAGGCGGAAGTTTTGGCAATTGAACTCAAATCTCCGCTATGTATCGACCCATGAAAATGACTCAATTTGTCTGCTTAATTACGCATCTTAAACTGTGCCGCCAAGACAGAAATTACGAATCACAAAATGCAACCTGGTTTCGTTAATTTGTTGTCCAACTGATGCAAACGTTGTTCATTGAAAATGAAAGGTTTGATTGTGATAGTCGTTCTGAAGTGACCCTCAATGTTGCCAGTATCACAGTTATATAGCTCATCAGTGGAATTCTATTTGAGAACTCCTGATTGAATACTCAAAAAAAAGCAGCAGTACCAATTCGTATTCTATCAACCGTCGGAGTGATCATAATTAGCGAAATTTGTGTGCCATCTCCGTGCTTATTAGCGGTTTGCGAAATCATCCAGTCTTTCTTGGTCACTGTTTGATAGTGAAAACCCAGTTCAGTCATTCCCAATGATTCAGCAATTTAACTGATACCAATTCCTTTCAGACGTATCCGTTACATCATGTCCAAATTTATTTTACATGCAGTCTCCTTAGTACCCTTTTCTTTTACGTATACCATGTGTCGTAATGAACGACTCGATGAAGCATGAAGTAGAGGCCTAGTTTATTGAAAGATAAACCGACCGAGAGGGTAATGTATGCAGAACTCAACCTACCACATAAATTAAACTTCGTTTTCCACAGTCTCTTCTATTTAGCTGCTTCTTAGAGTTATTACCTTACCAGTAAAACGGATCTGTATTTGGCTATTAAATGAGGCCTAAGAAACAGGACTATTGACCAATAGGCGTTTCAATTCCATTTTTCTTACCCCCCTTGAAGATCAATCTATCCATGATGATTATCGCAAAGAGCCGATCGGTTCCCTGAACTCTTTCCATGATCCCCTGTTTTTGTTCGTCTGTTCCACCCACCATGGGAACAGGAAGAGAAACGGTGAGATATAAACAGTCTTAACCCGCCCGCCATCCCGAAATGAAGAGATTGCCAACGGGAGAGAAAGTGAGCCAAACAATAGCCAGAATATCGTGACATTGAGAAACAGCGAGTTGATGCGATCAATTTATAGGTGGCCATGGCACAGGTGATTCTTGAATACAGAAAAAATGAATTGAGTGTAATATCCAGTTGAACCACAAACTTTCTTCCATTTAGCTAGTGATATGACAATAATACATCTAGTTTATTTCAAAGGACAAAGTACAAATTATCAAAATAAAGGTCCATTACTCAATTCTGCATTTACGTCCAGGAGGACTTCGATGTATCTCAGCATGGTGCATGTCATCAGGTACCAAACTCAAATTCACTTTTATCACAAAAAAGCATTTTACTTCATCAACTATTTTCGGAAGATAGTGCTTTTCGAATACTGTGAATGCTAATTTTTCTCAAATAGTGACAATAAATTATGAATTTCGGACCAAATAATAAACTGACCTGTTTTGCATTACTCTCACGATTTTTTTTCACAGCTCTCCAAGAAATCATGTCTTCCGTTAAAGTTGCTGTCCGAGTTCGACCGTTCAACAAGCGCGAAATCGCTGCGTGCAGCGAGTGTGTCATTCAGATGCAAGATCAGACAACATGTAAGTCCATTTTGTCCTTCAATGAGATCTTTGTCACGTGATTGAGAAATCGATTGTTCCTTGGGCTTGGTTGTCAAATAATTAAACCGAGTATTTCACTCGTTTTATTACTCTTTTGATTCAACAATTTAGAATCAGTTCCTGTGAAGATGCGTCAACTCCGTTGCGGGTTAACTTTGTCTACAATGATATGCGTCTATGATCGACAGTGTTCTTTGTTAAAAACCTAACTGATTCATTTACTGTAAATTAAATCATATTTTCTGTCACACTCACCGGAAGACGGCACCTTAGTGCAACCTAGTAAGATCGAAATTTATGCAAATACATGTTCGGTACGACAAAGAATTGTTTGCTAGAGAGCGTAACAAACTAGTGTAAACAGAAATGCCAATTCAATGTACCAATATCATCACTCTTTGGTATAAATTTCATATTGAATCTCACTTCTTACCATGCCTAACTGTCGAGTGTATTGTTATTTAACCAAACTCTAAAAAGCGGAAAATCGGTGAATTCGGTCGGTTGCAGCGGTCCAGCCTCACTAATTGTAAAATAGTATATCGATTTGCTCATAAATAGCTTCAAAAACGTTTTTTGTTCCAGAAATACTTGTCTTTGGATCATTATTTGGTTTTTTCAAAGTTTCCTTCCAACTATCACGATGATCGATTGCATCATTCCTCTTAGCATTCTCTTTGACTTCCGTCAGAATTCACTCGGAAGACGTATTTCTAATGAGCTAGATAAATACTCACTCGTACTGAATGCGTTTTCCGGAAAAAATATACTTCGTTAAAACGAGAAATTGAGTCTGTATTGTTGATATGTTTTTGACATTTTTGTTCTGACTTAACTCAACTAAAGAGCTCAAAATTTCCCACAGAACTCACGAATCGACTCGGTTCAATTTGGAAACGTAAGCAATCGAAATATTAGAAAATGGGAACTGCGGTTTTTAATCCTTAAGTGGATACATACCAGTGAGTGAGACTAGCAATCTACGATATACTCCCGACCCCTCTAAGACAGTGCACCCACAGTTACCATCCACCGCGAGTGTGGATTCAGTGAGCAAACTCTGTACCCATAGGTGACTAGTGCAGTCAATCCATAAGCATTGGGTCTGAATGTATCACCAACTTCATCTCCACGATCTCTTCCACTCAAGCAGGACAGGCACACACCCGGGTACCCATCGCTCTCCCCCTGTCCCATCCTCAATGATCGACAGCTTCGCATTATCCCAGTCAGCGGAGTTGACTAATTAACTAGTTAAATAGTGCCACTCTTCCCAGTCAGACAGATTGTTGATAGCATCCAGTTCTTTTGTTTGTTCCATAATGCGCACATTCCTCATAAGGACTCTCGTTCGGTCATTCTTCGTCATACACTCCTTGAATCTGAAAATCTTATCGTTGCATTAAATTGACGTAATCAAATACGGTCCGTTATCCATCGGTAGCTAACATTTACTTCACCCCGTGTTTGCATATCTGTCTTTTCCAGAAATCGGATAAACAAAGCACTCAGACATTTGTACTTTGCTTTTTTGGTAAAGCGTCTAATTATAGATCCGGTCGAACAATCGGGAGCCATACACAGTTTATCTGGAATCAGCTAAAGCAAATCTATAGACTGTTGAGCTCGGTTGTGTCTTGCTGGCGTATGATTTTACAATGGAAATGTGAACCGCATCATATTCCGTGTAGGCAGTTTACCGGAGATTGGCAATTGTCATCCTCGTCGGAGTTTTTAAGATGCAAAGGGTAGTTAAAATATTCGGATTGGATCTACATGTTTGGTTTTAAAGCTGATGCACCATCGCATCAATTCCTCTTGAGATTGGAAAAATGCCAACAACCCCAAACCCGCGAGTTATTTTACTTTTGTGTACTCTGAGGACCTCTTCCCATGCTCTCCCCTTTCTGTCAGTAATCCGTCGACCTGGTTCCAAGGAGGCTCCGAAGAGTTTCGAGTACGACTACAGTTACTGGTCACACACTTCCGTGAGTGCAACTGCTTATACCATTGAACACACCTCGCGATGTAAATGATACACTCGCTTTACTGATTTAAGTTACTACTGTTGAAAAAAGTTCCGTCTTTCTGCTCTGAAAGGGCCAAACATCAAAAGTATGGAATTGAATCCCATGATTTTTCATTAAATTTCGTCATGATCATATCACCTGCCCGTACATTTTATCCTCAAATTGGCTACAGAACGCCCCTGATAGATCCAAACTGACAGAGCTGCATAATCTCCAAAAACCTTCGGAATCTGGAAACTGCTCCGTAGTCTGCGTACTCTTTCCACTACTCTGACACTTTCAGAGGTCATTCGATTTGTTCCATTGACAGAACTCGATGAAAACATTGTAGTCTATTTGGTGGAGGCGGAGACACACTTGAACCCGCACCTATTTACTCAATTGAAGTCAATAAAAAGATGTACGAAAGAACACTTGGAGTCATATATCTATATTGTTCAAACAAAATATTTCGATTTGCTGATTCCGCAAAAAAAATGAAACGCTAAACTTTTTGTTATTCGGCATATGACCATGGATTTGGGAATTCTGTACATCAGCGGCAGGACGTAGTTGCATATCTATCTCAATTATGATCGGACCCGGTATGCCACTAAGGGAGTGCGGGTATTCTACGCACCGTGAATGCTATTACTTGACTCGGTAGGATTAACCCCTGTATTTTGTAAACGACTTTTGTCGTGAAAAGATCATAAATATTGCATTTGTCTTGGTAAACGAATTTCTTGACCAATATTTCATACTAACTGAATTGAGCTGTAAACGCGAAAACTAAATTCTATCCGTACAATTAAGATGTAGACAATAATTGAAATTTGAGAAACAACCATTAATAGAGAATGTAGAACGAAATGGTATTGTAAGGACTTTGTCTAGCAGTGTAGCCAACCAAGTGAGTCGCAGCTTTATAGCCGAAAACAAATATAGCTTGTTGATTGGTCTATAAATGTGTTCACTGGACTATTCATCAGTATCAATGATGCACCACAAGGTTAAACCTGTATTGCAGCTAAAAACCTTATCATCCATAAGAGGATGAAGGACAACCGTGAATTGCGCACTTCATTTACCTCTCTCCCATACATGTGTTGTCCCCAAGAAAAACGTGGAAAATGCAGAGTTCACTCAACAGCGTTATTCTCCAATGAGGGTTGGAAATATCGGATAGAGTAAAGTATATCATGCGCACCGATCTTCGGATTTCAAATAGCAGTCTCAAGACACTGCATCAATATTTGCTGGAGGGCGAGGGGCTTGTGGTTTGCTTTTCTTCAGCTCCCCGCTCGAACAGACTCGGTGAAAGAACGAATGATCGTTTACTTTTCAACATCGAGGTAATAACCCACATGTTGTGGTTTGAGGTGATTCTGACTGATATTGGTAGTGAAGCCTTTTGATGTTTCCTAGAATAGTCATTCGGTATTTATGAATATCTGAAAGACTGTCTGAGGTTACTCAAATTATTTTATTTTTAAGGAAAACAGAAGATCATTGGTATATGCGACGGAAATCAAAACAAAAAAATTCGACCAAATAACTCCTTTTTTGAGTTAATTCGGTGCATTGCAATGAATTGCGAGGTGCATCAGTTTTGGAAGATAGTTTGTATGCTAATCTATGGATCTGTTTGGGTGTACGGACCGGTTGTGGGAAGCCCAGAGTTCCATGCTTAACTTTGTCGTTCACCTGACACATTGTGCGCTGTAAAAAGAAGTCAGTTTAAGCACTACACAGGAATAATGTGGCTTGGTAAGTATCTCACATTTTAACATTCCTTCTGCCTCCTTCATTTTTCAATCCTTTATGTGTTTAGCCAAAAGATCCCATGTTCGCCGATCAGCGTCGCGTGTACGAGGATTTGGGGGTGCAAACATTGGAACACGCGATCAAAGGATACAATGTGTGCATTTTTGCCTACGGACAGACCGGTTCGGGCAAGTCGTACACAATGATGGGCAAACCAGGCGTGGACACAGAGGAGGGTATCATTCCTCGATTGTGTCGTGATCTGTTCACTCGATTGGACAAGTTGNNNCACACGGCAAAATCAGATCAAACGGTGCAAAATATAGTAGAGGTAAGCGCGCTCAAATGTGCCTGGGGTTTGCCGAGTCGTCTCAGAGCTACTACAGGGTAGCAACTCTCAAATAAATATTATAGAAAAAGATTGAACAAAATCAATATGAGGATAGATCATCAGCTGTTTCATCAGTTGCCATTGTTCATATGAACAGAAATTGTGATCAGGTCGAGTTTCTGTTGCGCAAAGCCCTTCTGGTTGGTACAAATCTATAAAAGCCACCTAAGAGAGACAGCAGAAAAATAAGCTTTTCATGTGAACGGTTTTATCACTTTTTGCTGTTGAGACACCTGCTTACCAGGTTTATGAATGGTAGTTGAAATTGTGTGTACAGTCGCTCAACTATATGATGTGGTTGCGGCGGTGAAAACTGTTCGATTTGAGGCGTGTGTATCCTGGGGTTGAAGTTCGCTCGGTGCAAATGACGGACATATAACAACGCAATCGACCGTCGACCATGAACTCCCATATTTGGGAGAAATGATGTTTGAACTGTCCAAATATACCAACATTACGCATTGTAGGAAAACAGAGTAGCGAACAAGTTCGTTTGCGGTGATTCTTCTACAGGACAAAACATCCCAGTTTATATCAAATTGTTTAGAAGGGGAGAGAAATTATGACAAGTTGACAAAGAAATAATCAGCATTCCAGTTCCATGACCGGATGTTGCTCACAATTTTGTCCTCATATATGCGTACTGGTTCGGGTTATTAGGGGTGGGTGGGGGATGGCTGTGTCGTGTGTGGTGCTGGCCATGGGAGACCGAGTGTTCTTACGAATTGTTTNCACGACACAGCCATCCCCCACCCATTCCTGATGACCCGAACCAGTGCACATGTGTGAGGACCAAAGTGTGAACAACATCCGGTCATGGAACTGGTATGTTGATTATCTCTTTTCCAACTTCAAGTCAAGTCAAGTCAAGCACCCAAACAGATGAGTTTTCAGCACTTTCGACAAGTTACAGTAAGGAAAACTTGTCGTGATTTCTCCCCCCTTGTGAACAGTTTGATATAATATGTGATGTATTACCTAAAACCAGTTCCCTTAAACATTTTCATGAGAGCAAGAAGATTCATCATGATCACAGGATGTGCTATTTCGTGGTTATCCCATAAGCTGTGTACATGCATTCGGATCACGTTTTTTAAGAGAGTGACAGGTCTGGGGACAGGCGAACACAAACGGGGAAGAGAAATCAATCAATAGGAAGGCCAAAAGTCTCCAATATAAACCGGATTGGGCATAAGGGAAGGGAGTGGAATCACTGTTTGCAGTGATTCNGGAGGACAGTGACACATCTACCAGCGGGCAACGCGAGGCTTGCCACAAATTCTGTCTGTTTACACAAATCGAGCTTGTAACGTCGAATGGCAGCTGCTTCAGCGAACCGTAGTAGACGGCTACCTTTCTGGCGAATCAAGACACGAAAGACGTACCTAGGTTCGTCACATTATACTCCGAACACCACAAACTGATTTGTACCTCAGCCGTCACATATCACCGTTTATACCGGATCTGTCAGAACCGCGTCCACTTTGAATGAGCCGATTTCTCCTTAGACAAACAAAAGTACTTTTTTAGTGAGGTACCGAAAAAGGATGTGTCTTTCGCTCGGGGTTTACACATTTGTCCCCCAACCCTGGGAACGGTATGTTCTTAACCGTTAATTGAGTGAGATGTAGATGAAAATAAACGAAACCCGGGGTAATTAACCTCGGTCGGTCGCACACGGAAGTAGATCACATCAAGGTGAGTCGGTAAATTGGTCACCATGCTTGGACGTGAAAGTTGGAATGTATCATGAAGGAGTTCAGTCCAGGCCCTCAAAAGCCTAATGAGTGAATTCCATTGAGGTGGAGGTTTTCTCAAATCATAAATCACTATGTGTTTAGGATTTTTAGTTAGTCCTAATAGGACAGGTATTGTGTCTTCCTTCAAGACATTTGATTTACAAATTAATTTCTTTCATTGGAGAATGTTTCGGATGAAACTATTGACTGCCAGTTGCTTTACATAATTGAAACACATCCCTTATATGCGATGAGGTTTGGTCTCGAGCCCTTGACGAGTCGGTGAACGGGTACCCTTAGAGATAGAGAGTGAAGCTTGAGTTCTATGTTTGTCAAGTACTGCATCAACCGGAAGAAATGATGACTGTGTTGCGATAAAGTCAGAAGGATAACGAGACAAGAGCATAGTTAACGTTTTATGGCTTTTAGTACAAATAACTGGTTATTGTTTTTTGTTAATGGATATTTTAAACTGCGAGTCGCGAGAGAAGAAAAACTGAAAACCAGATAACGTTCATTGCTGAAAGATTTGCTGTGAGCTGAGAATTCAACATGTTCTTCCTTACTAGCCTTTAGTTTGACCCCATAAATAAATCAACTGGCTTCTATTCTGCTTTCTCTATCGAAACATTTTGGAGCAGTTCACTACATGACACCCATATCTTCATACCTCTTGTTTTAGGTGTCGTACATTGAGATCTATTGCGAACGCGTGCGTGATTTGCTGAATCCACAAAGTAAGAGCAATTTACGAGTTCGTGAGCATCCGATTCTTGGACCGTATGTCGAGGATTTGTCCAAATGTGTGGTTCGCTCGTTTGACGAAATCAGTGAACTGATCGATGTGGGCAATAAAGCGAGGTGAGTGATCAACCGCCTACGTGCGGTGTCACTGGTTGTTTTCATTTAGCTATCCACCCAGTTCTGTTTTTACCACAATGTCCGCTGGCATTTTTTATCACGGTGAACTTGAATCAGTCAGATATATTTGAATGCTTCACTGTTCAGCAAGTAGGTTGTTCTCGCTACGAAGAACACTATTGGTCATCTATTTTAGCTGTATACTCAGTGATGAATATAACCGTATCTAACATGGTTTCAACTGCATTCAGCAAGCCTTTAGTTCAATGATGATAAGTTTTGGCCTGTACAATCGCAGAGCCTGTATAAATGCAAATAACTCTGTTTTCCTACCCTAGCTTCCCTCTCGCAAAAGTTTATCTGAAGCGGTAAAGTACTAGCAATAGCTGCTTCAGGATCAATTTTCAGTTCATTGCAAAATGATTGTGATTACAAAGCTAATGCACAACACTGAAATGCGCCTGTTTCACAAAACAGTAAAGCAATGCGCACAAGTTAGTATTTTAATCAAGCACTGATGAGTGATTGCGACTCATTGATAAGAGGGAAACTGAAGGAGTATTGATTAATATAAATCAAGAACGACTGTATCGCAAAATTTGGTAATCAATATAAACGGTCGAATAAATACATTCACAGCATAGTGTACCACTAGTCGTAGATGCAGGCAACGTATATACTGGAATTTGAGCTTTCTCAACCGAGCTCTGTGAGTGTGGTGAACAGAAACGTTTTGACAGCTCCCCCATTGACTTCGATTTTGGGATATATTCTTCAGGTTGTCTAACCAAACAGATTCATCAACCTGCAGAGCAGCTCGATATTTGTTGACTTCTTGAGTCCCCTTACTTTATGACTATGTGAACTACACGTGATTTACTCAATCGGTTTCAAGCACATACCATTAGAATACTCAAAAGTTGGCGAAGGTATTTATACATCGATTCAACTGGCGAATCGAATGTGACCGAAACTCTTACCAAACACCATTTACGTTCAATGTCAGTTTATCATACATTCATTGATAACAAAGGTTAGAATAAAGTATAATTGCTGCTTATTACCAAGCGGTAACATGTATCACTCCAATCAAACAGGTCAGTCCCTACTCAATAATGGTGATTTCCGTCTCATTTCAGGAGTCCTTCAGGTTATTTTCACCAACTGTGTTTTGCTCTAGATCTAATAAAAAATAACATAAATGCTCGCGTAGAAAACACCCGAACCGGTTTTTCCGTTTACTGCAACTTTTAGTGCTGTGATGATTTAATAGTGGTACAAAGTGAGTTGTATGCAATAGGTTAGCAAAAGACCAACACACACTGAATCGCATTTGCTTAGCACAGCCCAGGATCAAAAGTTCCGTTTATAATAAACGGAAAACAGATGACGAAGTTTGAGATGTTGCACACTATGCAATTTAGTGCGTGTGATCCAGGCAGCGTGTTTAACATCATAAAACGAACCGGATTCCACAAACATCCACTGCAGACTATACTCTCAGCCTGAAGTCAACAAAGGTTTACAGTATTCCGATGTTCTTATCCAATTTGCAATCCACTAATTGGTTGGGCTTACTCAAAGTTGAATTGTGGTGCACGAAAACATGTGTGTGTATCAAAACACTGCAACAGTTAATAAAATCGAAATATACCTGATTTCTTTTTCGAAAGGGGAATTAAAAAAATGCGGTGAAAAAAACACAAGAACATAAGTTATTGGCCCTGTTGTTTGGTTAAATCACAACTGATACTCGTGTGTGTATGTGTAGAGAAAGAGTAACTTCACGATTTCTTCCGACACGGCACTGTTTGTGAGTGTGCCGAATTTCGCGTCCTATTCCCTATCTCTCTCGCGCTCTGTTTCAATAGTTCTTTACCGTTTTTTTGTAGTAATCTTTATGCCAATTTATGTCACACAGCCGTGCATTGAAAAAACTGGAAAGGACAATCTGGAGCGTTTCGGACGAACAAAAGTAATAGAAAGTTCAACATTAAACTTATGAATCCAGCCAAGCTACAAATTATGACAGTTATCTAGGTGGTCAGGATCAGGTTTACAAGAAATGTTTGGAGCGATACGCATGCAATGCATTGCAGATTTTGCCTTTGTTTCAATATTGAATTAGAAAAAATGCAGCACCTGAAATGCGTTCTTGATGATTTATCAAAATATTTCGTAGTTCTATAATTTTTGCATTACTACAGGTCAAGAGAACGGAAAGCTTATTCAATGGTAATCGTATGCTATTGTTTTGATTTTTTTCATTTTGCAATCTCCTCGGGCAGGGTGATAAATGCAATGAATTTTGCTTGCAAAGCGCAACGAGTGGCGCTCAAATGATAGCAAAAATTGTGAAACAAGTCGTCCAGATCGATGATCAGGCGTGCCCATAAATTACACAATTGATCACCGTCCCTCACTGCACTTTTCTTTAGAATCATAAGGTTCAAACTCTTATGTTTTGTTTTGTGTTTTGCCACCTTACTTGATGCCAATGGCCAGTTGAATGAGATGATAATATTTCAGCAGTGAGGATCGATAACCCGGGTGTATGGCTGAGGTTCAAGAGGAGTCGAGTGATAATTTCTATATCCTCCCATGGGCGCAATTCTCATTGGTGTGTCGCCAGCCGACTGTTTCGCTATAATCCACGGTGAGGAAGAGAGGCTCAAACAGTTTCAATATTCACTAGTATATAACCTTAGCGTTTTCTAATGTCAAGTATTGAACAACGGCATGTACATACTGGTCTGCGTAACTTGAAAACGAAAAGCCTAAAACAAAATGGTTGCTTTTTCAGTGTAATTGCGTTAAACTGCCTCAACCATGGACCTTCCCATGGATCTTCCTATGTGAATAGACATTTTCTTCCACGTTTATACGATCCTTAACATGCAGACACATGCCCCGAATATCGACCAAAAACTAGTCGATGCAGGTTTGTCAACAAATGGTTTAGGGCATTTTTATCGAGAACGTAGCGCTTTTTCGACAACAGTGTTTCGTAATGGTTGATGAGGATCATGGGTAGCTGATAATCCTTCTTGGGAAAATTCCTCAATGTAAATTATCTGGGTCCGGAAGGGGAGGAAGAATCCTTTACAGTAAGAGAATAAGATATATACATATCGGCTGTAGGTAGGTTTTACGACGATTGAATGGCAACTGTAAGAGACTGTCTGCTATTGAAGAAAAAAATCCGATTATGTGAGACTCGCACGAAATGCGGAATAATCGTGTCTTGACTCGGTGTGTCCATTACTAAGGGTTAAAATGTCACGAGGCAAGGTAGTAGCATGCCTATTGTCTCTAGCTCATCCGACAGGAAGGAAAGAGAGAAACAGGACCGTTGGTAAAAGCTTTTCCATCGTAAAATGTTTCAAAACACAGCGGCTCTCGTTAGAAAGTTTAGTGGATGACTTATTGCCTGCGTACGTATCAGATTAAGCACTTACAGTGGAAACAGTGGTCAAATCAGGTTAAATAACTGTCAATCTACATCGGTCTGGAATAATGTGTATGAATGTACCAACAATAGAAAACATGAAATTTCATAACTTGGCCCTCTACAAAAGCACCTCCCCCACACGTAATGTCACCGCGTAATCCGAAAGGCCACACTAGTAAGGCTAGACTTTCATACTATTATCGTTGGGAGTTCAGAGTATACAGTACAACTTATAACCTGGATGCTCACACCCTATGCGGTTTTGCAATGTATGGTAACACATTTGGTTGTGGCCGTTAGTCTATAGGTAGCGCATAACGATTTTAGAATTGCTGTTCCATCAGATCGCATTATTCAACCATTTGTAACTTCTGCTAATGTAACCATTTGTGCTACGCTATCCTCCAATTCTTTTTGATTTGCCCGACCAACAGTATCTTTCGTTCTTTTATCAACCGTTTTGTATTGCCCCCCCCCTCATTGTAAACAGGACTGTGGCCGCAACCAATATGAACGAAACGAGCAGTCGATCGCATGCCGTTTTCACCATGGTTGTCACCCAGAAACTAAATGACGCGGTGACCAATGTGGTCACGGAAAAGGTACACGTGTGTGTTTGATTGCTTCCCGCCTTTCGATAATCTTGATGGAGCAGCGGAGTGAATAGGAGGGTGTGGGTTCACAAAATCACGTAAGAAGTGGCCTAAACGGAAAAGCTTTGACATGTATCATGTTTCACCGTAAATGTCTCATTTGTAGCTCAAGGAGTTGTTTGTAGATCAGTGTTTACTGGTGTCTCTGGTGACCATATATTTGAGTGGTACAGATGCTGAATATCAAAGAGTCCCTATCAGGTTGTGTCCTACTGTTTAGATGAGAATACCTCGTGAGCGCGCGATAGGTTCCATCGTGAGATCCATATGGGGAGTATAACAGCCCCTCTGAGGTCGCTATTGGATTAGCAGTAACAACTGTCAAGTTAGTAGTGGAAATACAAGGACACTCTAGCAAGTCACCCAAGGATTACTCATTGTACTTCTTGTATGGGTTCGGGTAATATTTTCATCATATATGGAAGAAAATCGCCTGTGTATCTGATGGCTCAACGTGCAGGTGAGTTCTCCGAGCAGGAAGTGTTGTTCGCAGACGTTTCGTAACCAAGCTAGGCAACACCATCAGTGCGACTTCTGTGTCTGGGTAACCAAGGAATCACTTTCGGTGCAGCAATACCCAAGAAACAATTACAGTTATCAGACCACCGAGGAAGACATTGTCCATACCACCAGAGGGGCACGTGTTTTGTGCTGGGTGATACAGAAAAACCAGTTTGTAGATAGTTACAGTGCACTCTGTGAAATGAATCATTTTGAGTATGGTAATCCATAAAAGTTTCGTTTCTGTACAACGACGCAATAAAAGAATTGCTTTATGTCAAGTTTATTATCAGCAAAACATCATTCCCATTCGGGCCCGGTAGATACAAATAATCTATTTTCCTGTTTGGCATGATGTGGATTGATAATTAATTTCTTTTTAAAAGGTACGTGGTACTCTTTTGTCTTCCCCACAGGTCTAATCGCAGCTGAAGCAACAGGTCCTTGTGAAACACCTGTTGGTTCGTGTAGGCAATTGCGTTTATATTGAAGTCAATTTTCTTTCCAAATAACAATAAACAAGCCTTGGTGATTCTCCATCTCAGTCTGACAACTCTGATTACTCTTGGTTCAAATAGTACGAGAGCAATAGTATATGATAGAAATTGAAGTAAATCAGGGTTCAATATACGATAGTTGCCTAATATACCAGTGTTGTGAGCCGAAAATGTGGCAACCCACACGTGTAGTTATCCGAGAAGATCGGCAGTCTGAAAGTTCTTTGCAGCATGCATAAGTCTCCACAAGCTTGGGACGATTGAGCGTTAAGACTTCCTACTATATCGACCTTTTTGTGCTAACGTGACAGTCCAATAATCCCTTCCACTTAGGGATGGCCCATCGATTAACCAGCCTTCTGCTTGAAAATAACCAAGGAAGTTGTGTGCTGGGTAGTGAATGATTTGAGGACAAAAGCTGAAATGTACTTGCAGATAATAATCAGCATCACGGAAATAGCTAACAATTGCAATTTCCGGGGCTAAACAAATCAAGGTGTTTCCCAACAAACAGTTCAGATCTGTCCTTGAAATATCAATCTGGTTGAACAGATTCCCTCCAGTTTAGGCTGACGTAATATCATTAATTAATTAAAATTAACTTCTGGAGTTAGCGTGAGATGTTTTTCCAGTTTGACAGTTCAACCGGAACACAGGATAAACCACGATTCGATAAATTGATGGATCGATGAAATCGCTTTAGACACGCAAGTGGAAAATGAAGTTTCGCACAAGCTATTTTGCACTACCTGGTACCACTAAATCCCATGGAATCTGAAAACCTTCTGGTGCTATGTGTTACCTAGGACAATATCTGTGAACGCTAATGCATTTCTCCCATTTTTCCGTGATGCACTCTCAACTGCAATTTGTTGACAATATGACTGATTGATGGAAATTGGGTCACTTTATTTGGACGAGTAGTGTCTGAATTGTTATGGAAGAGAAACTCTCTGAAGTTTAGTGATTAATATTTTGCCGTGCGCAAAAATAGCGAATTCTATCAGCTTTACAATCTGTATCTAATTTTGTACTCCAACTCCAACAGGTGAGCAAGATCAGCCTGGTTGACTTGGCAGGTAGTGAGAGAGCGGATTCCACTGGGGCAACGGATGTTCGATTAAAGGAGGGTGCAAATATTAACAAATCACTGACGACTTTGGGCAAAGTGATTGCAGCATTGGCTGATGCGGTACGTCCAAGTGCTTATCTTAAGTGGCATTTGACTGCTTGCGAATCCGTACCTAACCACTTCTTAACTTGTTTACGTTCAAAATTTCAGAGTTCAAAACGGAAAAAGAAAAGTGATTTCATACCATACAGAGATTCTGTTCTCACCTGGCTTTTGCGTGAAAATCTTGGTAAGTTATGATATTTTACTGCATTTGGAGACTGTATCTAGTATCAGTGTTTCAGTGTTGGTTAATGTTCTCAACGATTCACTTTGTGGTAAACTAACGTCCTGTGGTATTGCGTTCAGCACACTATTTATAGCCGTAATATCGCCGATTACAATCCGATTCCTGGTCCTCAGTTATGACGAGGTTTAAACAAAAGGGCCTGCATGATCAACGGATCAAAGCAAACGTATAGGATTTGCGGTGTGCAGTTCGAGCAGTCACATGGAAACTTATAAGCTGGTAAATTTACGGAACGTTGGGTGATTGATCGACCCATCTGGTATACGCACAGGCGCGCGCCTAACACAAACGCATACACACACACTCATACTAACATCAGGGAGGTTTAACCTTGTTTTTTTTGGTTATTCGTCTTCACAGACCACCGATGCGCTCATGCTCCTGCTTGCTCACCAGTCGACGAAAATAACTGAATTTGTCGTATGATTACGTCTTTACTAACAAGGGATATAGCAATAGATTCAGATCAAGCACATCGATCTGGATCGATAAGAAATGTTAAAAGGCTAAGTGTGCACATGTCTTCGAAGCTGAATAGCAATCCAGTCTGTTAGAAGCACTCCCTACTCGGTCTCCATAGAATTAAGAACCATCAGTAATTGTACATGAATAATATTCACATCGAATACCTCCAAGCGCTTGGGCAGATTTGGCTGTTGCTCTACAGCAATCAACTTTGCCAACTATTGGTCGACAGTTATAATAACTACCCAGGAACACGACCTGGAATGGTCAGTGTTAGGACCGAATTCTTTAGGTTTGTACTACCGAGTGCAAAAGGAGAACCTCATACTCTGTTTGACCAACAGAGCGAGAATCTGTACAAAGGACATGTTGGTTGATGAACTCCAAAATGTGCGGAATATTTTCATCCAGAATGGATACCCGGAGTGTTTGGGAGAATCTGTGATGCAAAGGCATTAGGGGTTTCCCAAGGGGGTCATTGCTGAGAAAAAGGTCTGTGTACATCACTTTACCAGAGTGTTTCATCATGGAAGGTTTTCAGATGCCAGCACTAAAACGTTCTTTGCTGCCAAGCTCCGTACCTGATTCAGTTCTGGCCCGTTATTTGAAGGACAGAACACTCAAGGTGAAGGGCACAATGGAAGAGTATATACTTGCCACACAGGATAGTCAAGTTGTTATTAGTTTAATAAAATCAATTTATGGTCCGCTTTCATGTATTCATTTTCGTCAGACAAATCAGCTGACGTTTCAGAGGCTTAAAACTAGAGTGCTTTCACACTATAGATCGAGTGACAGTGTAAACTCCAAGGCGAACGAACGGAAATTTTGTGTAACCATGCCTAATGGTACCCATTGTTTGTTCGGCAAGACCGCTGAACTGAACTGTTACATTCAATTATTTCCAGGACTGAGATTTTCAACTTAACAGCGTTTGATGCCCTGAAGATAAACCATTTGTTTATTGGTTCCTCCAAAGTCAGGTTACCTAGTTAAAAATCAACGGAATCACACAAACTCTAGTGTTGCAGTTCTAACTAATTCTTCACTGTTACCACGTCTATTCGAGGTAGACAATACCATATCTAATATAGTATGGTCTGATGTGGTTCTCCGCTTCAAGTCGTGTAGCCTAGATTACCGGTTTCCACCACTAAACAGCGGGTCTTGGCACCTATGAATTTAACCCGTCTGTTTTTCATCTAACAAACTACTGTTATTGAAGAGTTTGACTAATTTTCGTCCACGCTGATCTGATTTCAGGAGGCAATTCACGCACGACAATGATTGCGGCGCTCTCACCGGCTGACATCAATTACGAGGAGACACTGTCCACCTTGCGCTACGCCGATCGAGCCAAACACATTGTGTGCAAGGCCGTGATAAACGAAGACCCGAATGCCAAACTGATTCGGGAGCTCAAGGCGGAAGTTGCACGATTACAACAAATTCTCAGTTTGGAGAGATTGGACACATCTGGACGTAAGCGACAGTTGATATTTCGTGACTGTGTCAAGTAAATTATTTCTGTGTTTGTTGGTTTCATCCGAGGCACAAAAATTCGTAAACGTGTGACTGTGTAATTTTCAAAATACACTGATTATTAAAGAATCTGGTTAGTGTTATTAATGAAAACTGAATATTTAAGACGTACAATCAATGTCAAGCAGATCGGAACATGTTTTTAATCATATACGAGATATTTCAGAAACGGAGGTAAGTAACAAAATTAAGTAGATAAATCAGACGAAAACCCAATGTAACAACACTCACGTCTTGAGCTTTGAAAAGTGTCGGTTGTGCAAAGGTTTGAATATTCGGTAATTTTTGATAATACAAATTTATATTTTTACTTTAGTTTGAACAGTACTTGCTAATTCTGTCGTTAGAGGAGTCTCCATTCTATAGATATGATCATGGCATTGTCATTGGATATAACTCTCTGCCTGATATAATCAAAAAATCACGTCTTTTGTAGTCAAAGCCATATTTAAATCTAGCATTTTTACGATGAAACCTATAGTTCTGATTACTGACTATTCCGATTGATCTTCACGGGGGGTCACCAGTTCAGCCTATTTCATTCCTAGATGAAACGTTCAGTTTTTAATCTTTGTATTAACAGTGACAATAGGGTGGAAAAGTACGCACGTTGGAGGTGACTGCAACTTAAAGCTCTACGGACTAAACTATCAGGTGTTCCCAACTCACTTTTCTCTTATTTTGATTCCTCAAGGTGACCATAATTCGTCAACGATGACTCTCCCCAAGTATTAAGTTTCAAACTTTATCCAAAATCCCAGACATTTTGGGGTTGGAATTCTCGCTAGGTGCACCTACACACAGGAACACTACTATGTTTTGCTCTATCCTTATCTGTCTTCAAAACCATCTCTTGCCCAATAGATTTTGTCCCACACTATTAAATTGTGATACTGACGTCTGACGTTTTCATAGTGGTATTTGTTCGCTGTATATTCATTTGTAAACCGCTGAAACTGCACCCTACGGGTGCGCTATGCGTACTGTGATACAAGTTGCAAATGACTTAGTTATTTGTTTGATCCATTTTATATGAGAGGAGGTGCGTCATTTTTTCGGCCTCTTGTAAATACTCTTGTTTATCAATGAATAGAAATCTGCTAAGGGGAATTAACGATCTGCCAAGGAGTGAAGCCCATACCCAAGATCATCAACGGTGTATGGTACCTGCAAAAAACCGAAACGGGTTAATCCAAACATACACGGTCACAATTGGTTTGAATTGTTCAAACTATTACTGGAATTTTGATTACAAGGTTATTGAAATCGAACTCAAGTTTGAAAAACTTGAGATATTCTATTTCGCTCTGAGAACAACTGATGCCATTGAAAACCGGTTTTAATACACTTTGTGATTTTCTGTCAAATAGCTCCGCGTTTACTGAAAGATAGTGAAACGACAACCAACGGGGAGCCGTTGTCCCAATTCCCGAATGAGCACACTGCAACGCTGGAAGCATTGCAAGCATCGGAAAAGTTGATTGCGGAACTAAATGAGACTATGGAAGACAAATTGAGACGCGCGGAGCAACTCAGGGAACAAAGGTGAGTTCGACTTGATCTGCGGCAGAAGCTGGCTCAACAACGTTTGGTATTGCTTTCTGTTGTTGTCGTAGGTGTTCTGTTGATGGGCGTACATTTGTTATCGAGCTGTATATATAACCAGCTTGAAGGCTTTCTGACTCCCGTCATTTGATCTCGCAGCAATACATCGGTGAAAAATACAAGTTACGTGGAGTGTAGAATAGATTTTTCTGAAACAAACTATCTAGTCAAATGAGCAAGTAATATTCAAACGTGGTGTTATTGAGAGCATTGCAACGAACAAAATCAGACCAGCAGCTCATTGCGTACTACCAGCGCTCCTTCAATCGCTTGACTGTGAAATTCACCAAAGTGTGTGGATTAAAAAGCAACAAACCCGTTAGATTTTACAGCCTGTTTATCACTGAATCTGCTGTCATGTAGCTTTCTCTCAAGTCTTATACAGAGATGTGTATGTTAGGGAGTTTTCTGCATGACTTATTCACTGTAAGCGAGAAACGCCTAATTCATCCTGTATATAAAATTGATTTATTCCAGAAGCATTTGTGTGCTTTTATGAAAATGCTCTGTATTGATAGCATCTGCTTCAAAATTAGGGATATATACAAACATATGAATACAAAAACAGGAACATTATCTTAAAAGTGTACTACCGGTTTTTTGGTTGCGGCCGCTTTTCAGATATCCACATCCGATATTGTCGCATCTGACTCGGCATGTACTTATAGTCCTAACGTGCATCCTCACCGTAGATTTCTACTACTCCATGCATGTTCTCACATTTGACTCCACTCTTTCCTATTTTCCCGCTACTCGTCTCAGAGAAAAAGAACTGATGGACATGGGCATTGCCATACGCAGTGACGGTGGAGTAACCGGGGTGTTTACACCGAAAAATGTGAGTGCACTGATTTTCGAATTATACGAGGCTTTTTGAGCATTTTTATTTGGTCAGAGATTGTTCCCCGATTTGCTTATATTGCGTAAAACAACAAAAAGACTGCTGAATTAATAACTGTTATGAAGAAAATTAATGAGCGAAAAATTACATGGCTAATTTGAATAGTCCAATTACCTTATATACCCATCCTGTGATTTCCATTTCAAACCGGGCTAATCTCTCAGTAAATCAATAAATATATATCCGTACTATCCTTTTTGGACAGGATATCCGTTCTCTTTGCCATCGAATGATTTAGACTGATGAAGAATTATGTATTTACGACCAAAATATTGATTTGAAGAAATAAAACAATTTTACCTTTGGTTACTCTCAAAAGCGCTTGCATTTTCACTTTGTTAACCAAACAGAATTAAGGTCCGCTAGATAAACGAACGAGCACTGGTTTCCACTACATGGTGATTTTTATGCACAAGTGACTAACTTTTGTGATGCATGAGTTAGTAGAGGAATCTCTTCACGACTGATGAGAAATTGTGCGTCTCAGGAATGTAACTGAAGTGTTACATTACCAAACCGTCGTGTGTGAGTTCCAGTTGAAGGAAATTAGATGGACGTTCTCTCCTGATGGATCCACAAATTCAATCGAAACAACTGTAAAAGCTTTTCAGTGGTACATGTGGCATGTTTTTCGAGCACGATTACGCTGAACTTCAATTTTGGCATTTTCCTGACTTGCATACAACGCTTGCTTTTGCTCTCTGGTATCTGAAGATCAAAACCTGATAGAGAGTTTCACATTTGAAATTTGTAATCTACCGTCTGTACAAAGAAACCACGGTTGAATTATTTTGGGCATGCGTTGAATGCTTAATGCAATGTGATACCTTCTCGTTTGAAGCGCAGTTTCCGGTGCATACTGCTCTATAATTCTTTATCATCCGGTTACCATTCAAACGTGAATTTCAAGTAGATCAAGCGGATCCCTGTGTGGGCTTGTCGGGTGGGAGGCACATCATGTGATCAAAGTCATGCAAAGTACAATAAAGCACCGCGCGAACCAAATCCGTAAAAAAGAAATGGTATTGAATAGCCCACATAACGGAAATAGAGTTTTAGTCATGATCTAGAAAGATGAAATATATAAGCTACAGCCTAGGATGAGGAAAAGCTTCCCATCGCACCACAATAAAAGAACAAAACATACAAGAGTGAACAAAGAATCACAAGGATAGCGAAACCAGGATGCCAAGAGAGATGCAACCATCTCTGCAGACCTTGCATACATTTTATTCCTTTAAAGAAAAGTTGCCATCCCTAGAAGAAAAAGATTTAGATAGGGTAAACCCTCCGGTTAGTCTCCTCAAAAATATAGTTATGCGATTTATTTTAACTAAAATTATAAACTGTCAATCCTAACGACTTATAGGGAACCTATTGAGGGAGTTTTCGCCTGATATGTTCGGTTTGCTTTAGAGTGGTTACATTTCATCATTCTGCCTATATAGGATATTGTGAATATACGACCCGCTGCCTTTCTCGTTCTTGGCTCCATTTCAGACTCCACATCTTGTTAATTTGAACGAAGATCCAGCCATGTCCGAATGTCTTATCTACTATCTGAAACAAGGAGTGACTCGGTAAGATTCCACTTGTAATTTTTTATGATATATTCCAATATACCTGACGTCTTCGCAGGCATGAACGTTTGTGACAGTGGTATAGCGTTCCAGCGTACAGTTGAAATATCACATGCATTTTACTGTGCGCTCAGCTTTGTGAAGTCTGTTGGGCAGTATCATGTGCGTAGGTAGCTAAATTTTTCAAATTAGATAACAACGTGAGTTGTGTAGTCAAATTCTCTTTAGAAGAACGAGTAAAAATATGTTTTGGTTTTACATTCAAAGTAACCAGTATTGCACCATGAAAACGACTCTCTCTACATTCAGAACAAGTTCACTGATACTTAGACAAATTCGCAAATTTTCTTCGGAGCAAGCCCGATGCAAATAGTGTACATCATCATCATCTTGACCTCATTCACATTTTTTCCCTCGCGGAAGTTGCTTCCTGAAGGCGTGTAGCACATTGCTGACTAAGGGGTGGGACTGAGTTTTTATCACCAAACTCCTAATCTCGCGTAGATGACGTGCAGTAAAACAGCGCATTTAGCGTGCCTTGTTGCGGAAGCAGATTCGCAAAAGCTCTCAGATCGATCTTCACCGATTCTACTTTGTCTCGGGATGCCAACCTAAACAATGCACACCAGTGGCTGAGTACCCTACAAATAAACTATGTATATCACCAAGCGGAAATACATTTTATTTGCTCAAGTAAATCGGCTTTGATTGGAAGTGTTGAACAGTGTAGACCCCAAAGAGCAAGGTTAATGAAGAGTTAGGGGTTAACATTCTTTACGTAAAACCTATATTTTGCCAACTAGAAAAAAATCAGTAGTCTGTCTTTTGATTGATTTTCGCGCAGGCATTACCGGTGTTTGATGGCATTGCTTTCGCCGCATTTTTGATGAAGCTTTTCGTATGTAAACATGGTTTCTGTTAGATGTACTCTCAGAACGCATCAGCAAATTTGTGCGTTGCATAGTTTCGGAAGTCCACTCTCTTTAGTTCACCAATATCCGTGAGAGGATATATGGGGTAGTTTGAAGATGATTAAACCAAAAACCATTTATAGAGATCAGGTAGCAGTGCACGGCTAATATTAAACAGATAACGGTGATATGGAACCAAATACTAGCTGCAAATAAAGTAATTGTTGCTTTGACTAAATATTCAGATAGTATTCTCAGTGGATTGGTTGAACTTTGCGGATCCTATGCTGAGCCTCACCAAACAGCTTCGTGAAAGTGGAAGAATGAGAGCAGAGCATTCAGGTGCTGGGTTAATTGTTGAACAAAAACAAGGTAAACTAAAACTCCTGCTCATTATCAATGATCATATTGGTGTAGTTTGTTCTGACAGAAACAACGTCAACTTTAGGTTAGGAGAGAAGAACAAAGCCGTTGATGCCCATAAATTTATTATTATTTATTATTATTATTATTTATTCCAAAGAAAGTGGAATTCAAACGCATGAAAAGATAACGCAATGCGTCTAAAAGGACTTAATTGTTTGATATTCACTTATCAACGCACAACATTTAAGGGTTCCAAAAAAATGCATCAGTTTCAAGTGACACTCTGGTAGTCAGATAAAGCGGTGCATTTTAGAATGTCATTTGCCTTACAGTGAATAAAATTGAGGTACTACTGGGGGGGGGGGCAGGCACTCAGTCAAACTTTGTACAAAGCAGTAGAATGAATCGAAACAGAACCAACGCATTTAATGACTACAGGTTTTTGTTATCGACGAACATGCAAAAAAATATTTGTGTATCTTTTAGCTAAGAGATGTTTGAGAGCACATGGAAATACTGTTGCTTTCGGTGAACCTAAGCCTTTCAAAGGTAGAGCGGAATAAGGTAGGTAACGTATGCATTGTAAAATGCTCTCGACTAAATTTGATACGAAAAGTCTGATTGTATTCTATGTTGCTGATACACAATGAATTAACAAATGGTTGAAATAATTCTTTAGTAACGTAATCATTGCTTGTTATTCGGCATCTTACCTTGCAGTGTTGGACAATTGCACACAAAGTCTGCGGTGGAAATCGGATTGAGTGGGGAGTTCATTCTCGAAGAGCATTGCATATTTTTCAACAATGACGGTAAGTAATCCTGGAGAAAAGTACTCTGCTTTACTGCTCCCAATTTGGGGTAGTTTTCTTACATTTTTCGAGGCCCTTCTACCTTGAAATTATATGTTGGTAGTTGTTCCCCGGGGTTGAGATGCAGAGGTACAAGTACAAGTTAGGTAAAACACTGTTTTGAAAATGGGATCCAACTTCTTAAACAAATCCATTGAACTATTCAGCAAAAAATACATTCAACCGATAGGGACAGTAATTGTCTGGACGAATGTTTAATTGTGTTGCTCCGACTGTTTTATTCACTTTTATTTCAATCTAAATAAACGGAATTACCTAAAGCATCAGCTCCTCTATGGGCGACGATGCGTTCGATTCGGATTACGGAAGAGCAATTTGAGGGAGGAAAAACGGAATATCATTACTATTTCACCAGGTGTCTCAAAACTTCTCGAACATTAATTGCTTGATTTCCAGTGCCTAACGAAAAATCGTTACATTCTACGGTAAGTGATAGAGAACCAGTTTGGCCAAACTGGAAAGGAGCACGCTGAGCCAAACTATTGAAGGATTAGCACACTACAGTAGATATATGGATGATATCTTCTGTGTGACCGATCGTAAACATGCATCTAACAGATAATGAAGTTGTTAAATGAAGGAAATTCATCACTGGAATTCACTGTGGAGGTTGAAACGAACAACATATTGGCCTTTCTGGATGTAGCCGTGTCCAGGAAAAAAAGATGGATCAGTAAGAAGATAGATCAACGGAAAGCAAACATGGAATGGCCAATATACCAACTTCCATAGTTTTGTTCCTGTGAAATATAAACGCAAT